AGCGGCCCGCCCGAGCCTCGCCGTCTCTCGACGGTCTGACTGTTTGGCCTCGCGCCTCGGGCGACCCGCGCGGGTCGCTGGGACCCTCTCTGGGTGACCAGCGCGCGTCGCGGGAATGCCGCGCTGCGCTCTGCCCAGAGCCTTGCTCGCCCCCGTCGTCGCTCTGCCCAGCGGCCAGCCTTGCCCGCTAGCTCTCTCTGCTCCGCGCAGCGGACGACCCGCGCGCGTCGCCGGGAGCCCTCCGGGGCGACCAACGCGCGTCGCGGAGACTCCGTGCGGCGCCGCGCCCGCAGCCTTGGACATGGGCGTGCACGGGCGAATAAAGAGAAAAAGAGCAGGGCGATCCTCGTGAGGAGCGCGCCGACATGGGCGTCGCGGCGTGCGGGCGCTGCTGTCGGGGTTCCAGGGGAAGCTTCCTGCGGCGGCCACGCTCAATGTCACGAGTACTCAGGGTCAGGCATACGTGAACAATTCATATTCGTATATTATTATATAAACATATTTACATATATATAGAGATATAGATATAGACCAGACGTGGCCATGCTCGCATTCCTGCAAATATACTCACTCGCACGCAGACTCATTCACACTCAGACTCACTCGCGCTCAGACTCACCCGCGCTCAGTCTCTCGAAAGTAGAATTATCGTATTCGCTCGTGTTGTGTACCCCGCCACGCAATTCCGCGCACCCCTCATACGGTTCGTGGCCCCATAGGGAGCGCCACCGAAGAAGAGATTCACAATTGCGGTACTCACAACTGCATATGGTTGGGTCCATCGCCAGGCAAATTGAACATCCATGCTGCGAAACCATGTGTTTTACGCGTGCTCGTGACACTCGAATTTGGAATATTCGGGAATCCTACAAGGTGTTTAAAGGATTGCGGCGTGCGCGCGCGACGACGCGCACGTGAGCAGTTCGTCTCATTGTGTTGCACGGAGTTCTTGAAAACCGATGACCTTTGATAAAGAGTGTGGTGGTGGGTCCTGGCCTTCAAGAGACAGCGCCCCGAGTCTCACTCCTCCTCCTCCTCCTCCTCCTCCTCCTCCTTCCTCCTCCCCCTCCAACCTCCTTCCATCATCATCATGATCGTCACCAGCATTATCATCATCGTCATCGCCACCCATGTCGGCATCCCTCCCCTTTCGGCACACCCCTCACACGTTCCACCGTTTCGTGGCCCCATCGGATCTCCACCGAAGGTTCCAGTGGCACCCCCCGCATGCGCCAGCCTGATCCAGTACAGCGTTTCACTCACGGCCCCAGAGGAAGCTCCACCGAAGGCCCCAGTGGGACCGCCCGCACACGTCCGCCACACCCAATACAGCGCTTCGTGGCCCAGAGGAAGCTCCACAGAAGGTCCCAGTGGGACCGCCCGCATGCATCCGCCACACCCAGTACGGCGCTTCGTGGCAACATAGGGGGCTCCACAGAAGGTCCCAGCGGGAACACCCGCATGCGCCAGCCACATCCAGCGCAGCGCTTCGCGGCACCGAAGGTCCCAGCGGGACCGCCCGCATGCGCCCGCCACACCCAGTCAAGCGCTTCATGGCCCCAGAAGGAGCTCCGCCGAAGGTCCCAGTGGCACCGCCCACGTACGCCCGCCACACCAAATACAGCGCTTCGTGGCCTCATTGGGAGCTCCACCGAAGGTCCCAGTGGGACCACCCGCACGCGCCCGCATCACGCAGTACTGCGCTTCGTGGCCCCATAGGGGGCTCCTACAGCGCTTCGGGGGGAGCTCCGCAGAAGGCCCCAGTGGGACCGCCCGCATGCGTCCGCCACATCCAGTACAGCGCTTCGTGGCCCCATAGGGAACTCCACCGAAGGTCCCAATGGCACCGCCCGCATGCGCCCGCCACACTGAGCACAACGCTTCGTTGCCCCATAGGGGGCTCCACCGGAGGTCCCACTGGCACCGCCCGCATGCGCCCGTCACACCCAGCACAGCGCTTCCTGACCTCATAGGGCGCTTCACCGAAGGCCCCCAGTGACACCGCCCGAATGCGTCAACCACACCCAGTACAGCGTGTCGTAGCACCATAGGAAGCTCCACCGGAGGTCCCAATGGGACCGCCTGCATGCGTCCGCCCCCACCCAGTGCAGCGCTTCGCGGCCCCAAAGGGAGCAGAACCGAAGGCCCCAGTGTCACCCCCCGCATGGGTCCCCCCACCCAGTCCAGCGCATCATGGGCCCATAGGCAGCTCCACCGACGGTCCCAGTGGGACCGCCCGCATGCGTCCGCCCCCTCCCCCACCCAGTACAGCGTTTCGTGGGCCCGTAGGGCCTAGGGAGCTCCAGCGGAAGGCCTAGTGGCACCGCCCGCATGCGTCTCCACCACACACTACAATGCTTCGTGGCCCCATAGGGAGCTCCACCGAAGGCCCCAGTGGGACCGCCCGCACGCGTCCCCCCCACTCAGTACAACGTTCCGCGGCCCCATAGGGAGCTCCAGCGAAGGTCCTGGTAACACCGCCCGCATGCGTCTCCACCACCCAATACAGCCTCTCGTGGTCCCACAGGGAGCCCCACCGAAGGCCCCCATGGAACCGCCCGCATGCGTCTTCCCACCCATTACAGCACGCCCCATCATGAGCTGCGTGGCCCACCGAAAGTGGCAACCACAACGCCTTCCTCACAACTGCATATGGTTGGGTCCTTCGCCAGGATAATTCGTTTGCAGAAAATGAGGGGGGATACGGGCCTGCCTGGGATGGTAAGAATTCAGAATTCGGATGGACGACGTGGCATAATCATATGTACATTGCACATCCCCTGGGGGGCCCGGTAAGTCTGGGGGTGGGGTGGGGGGTAGATCCTAATACCCTTGTAGGGAGGGGGATATACGTAGTACAGTATATGAGGAGCAATGACGTGGTTCGATATATGTGGCGACGGTCGCCAAAGCAATGCAACGTAGCGCAAATCAGCGCAAAGCAACATAAATTGCTGCAAGGCAATGCCAAGCAATGCCAAGCAATGCAATGAGAAGCATAACAAAGCATAGCCAAGAAATGCCCAGCAATGCAACGCAAGGCAAAGTAACCCAGCGCAGAGCAACGCAACACAAACGATGCAAATCCATGAAACACAATACAAAGTAACGCAAAGCAAAAACAAGTAACCCAGACCCAGACGGCTACGGGGCGGCGACGGTGACCACATAGCCGCCAGACTGACGGGCAGGCCCAACGACGGGCGGCGACGAGGCGGCGACTGAACGACGGGCACGCCCAACTCCTTCAAAAAGAAATCTGATACGTGCGCGCTGCCAGAACACCATTCCTTTGACTTCAATAATACGGATCCTTCACACTGTCACGCACTAGCAGAGCGCATGTGAGCGGCGCGAAAGCGAAAGCCACATGATGAGAAGCCGCCGCCCTGCATCCTTGAAGCTGCCGCGAATGTTGAATACGAATGTGCGCGGCGCTACAGCCTAAAGCCAAGACCACAGTTTGAAAATGACCTGTTCTCCGTCCATGAAACTGCTGCAAACGGTTGGTACGATATGCGCGGCGCTGAGGCGAGAACCACACCTGTACAATAACCACTTCAATACAGAAAGCTGCTGCAAACTTGTCCGACACATGTGCGCGGCACCAAGGCGAGAGCCCTCCATCCGTGACACTGTTGCACGCTTCACGCTTCATGATCATAAAAGTGAGGAAGTCTCAAGCGGAACGCTCGGCTCGCCCTACTGACGCGTCTGGGGGGCGACAGGAAGAATCCCACCGGCCCTCTGGGCGTTGGCGGTCCGACTAGTTCGCCCTTTCCTCTTCCAAGACCAGCTTCCCTTCGAGGAGGGGTACACACACATACCCCTTCCAGGGGTGTGGACGGGGGGGCGGATGGATTAGAGCGCCCAAGATGGCTCCAAGAGGGCACCGATGCTCCAAGATGGCCTCCAAGATGGCTCAAGACAGCCGAAGGTGGCTTAAGGTGGCTTCAACATACTCCAAGGGGCCCCAAAGTACAGCTCCAAGACGGCTCCAGGTGCTCTCGGAGCCCCCTCAGGACCCCCCCGAGAGTTCAAAAACCTGAGGGAAAGTTGTGCCGTCTCGCCGTCTCGCTTCCGATGCGCTGTTGAAGCTTCAAGATTGCCCCAAGATGGCCCAAGAAAGTCCAAAGAAAAATCGAAGAAAACCCCTCATTTGATCGATCGATCGCCTCTGAGATGGCCTCAAGAGACCCTCCAGGGCCTCCAAGAGGACCCCAAGACGGCCCCAAGAGCGCCCAAGAGCGCCCCCAGAGCGTCCCACGATGGCCCCAAGAGGCGATTTGCCCCCTCCTCCTCCTCATTATCATCATCATCATCATCATCATCATCATCATCATCATCATCATCATCATCATCATCAGCAGCAGCAGCAGCATCATCATCATCATCAGCATCATCATCAGCATCATCATCGTCATCATCATCAGCATCAGCATCGTCAGCATCATCAGCATCATCAGCATCATCGTCAGCATCATCACCACCACCACCATCATCATCATCATCGTCATCAGCATCATCATCATCAGCATCATCATCATCGTCATCATCATCAGCAGCATCATCATCCTCCTCCTCCGCCTTCTCCTCCTCCTCCCCTCCCCCCCCCCCCCCCGCGGACCCCAGGGATGGCCCAAAGAGGCCCTCCTTAGCAACCCCCTTGCTCCCAGAGATCGCTCTGCTCATGCTGGTTGCCCGCTCTGTTTCACTTTATGTGTCTCTTCGTCCATTTCCCCGACAGCTCTTATCGGCAAGCTTTCTGAACGGGCTGGTGTAGATACGCGAAGCATGAAGAACTACCTGGGTACAAGAAGAACACATAACGGATGGCGGAGAGGGAGAGAAGAGAAGAGGGACGGAGAAAGGCGAGGAGGAAAAAGAGGAAATGGAGGACGGAGAACGGGGAGGGAGGAGGGGAGAGGGCTGAGAGGGGAGGAGGGAGCACGGGAAGAGAAGGCAGCGAGGCAAGGGGCTCAGCGCCGCGCGGGCGGCCCTCACCTCTTCCGCCCCCTCTTCGGGGCCGCAGAGGCAGCGCCTCCAGCGGTCAGGCAGCGCACGCTGGGGCCGATCGCTTCCTCGTCGTCGTCGTCCGCATTCTCCTCCTCCTCCTCCTCCTCCTCCTCCTCCTCCTCCTCCTCCTCATCCTAAGAGAGAAAACAGAGAAAGAGCAGGCCCGATGGATCGAGGCCACGCAAGCAGCGGCGGCGGCGACGCCGACGACTCCGCAGCCGCTCACCACGCCGCTGCCCCGAGACGCCGCCGAGGGCAGCGACGACGCGTGTCGATGTGCGTCGACGACGGTGGCGACGACGACGCCGACGCAATTGGCGACCGCCGAGGGCCTTCTTGGCCCCGCTCCTTCTTTCGAGCTCGCCTCCCGCCGTGCGGACGCGCCGCGAGCGCGTCAACGTCGTCGTCTTCGTCGCTGCAGCTGCCGCCGCCGTCGCCCTCGTCGTCGGGCGGGGCGGGAAAAGAGGGAGGAGGAGGAGGAGGAGGAGGAGGAGGAGGAGGAGGACGGGGAGGAGGAGGGGGAGGGGGAGGAGGAGGGGGAGGGGGAGGAGGAGGAGGAGGAGGAGGAGGAGGAGGAGGAGGAGGAGGAGGACGAGGAGGAGGAGGAAGGAGGAGGAGGAGAGGAGGAGGACGAGGAGGAGGAGGAGGAGGAGGAGGAGGACCAGAGAAGGCCCTGGACGCGCCAACGATGCTGCAATCATACCGTCTCGTCCGAAGCCACTTCGTCGCAAGTCCCTACAAGTACCCCTTCCCACTGCGAGAAGGCCCGCACTTGAATGACGAGCGCCCAGTGGGCCTGCCACTCAAGCGAGGCCCCGTCCTCTAGGAGACCCCTCCCTCCGTCCTTCGAGCTGAGTCTGGCGGAACCAAAACGCAGAGGGGCAGGATGGCAAAGTTCAAAGAAGGGTGCCCGGCGGTAGTCCCGTACAGTCGGGGTGGATTGAAGAGGACACGCAAGAGGACACAAGACTCTTCCGATGGCCACATTGCCAGTGGAACGTAGAGGGCATGGGTCACGAAACACAGGACACAAGGGTACCCTTGTTTGGGCAGGGTCGACCTACGAATCAAACTCGACTGTACTGAAGATGCTCCGCGGCGGAACAGTGCCCTCCTTCCCGCCGCCTGTCGGCGCCTCGGCGCACCGGCACCGTCGCCAAGGCCCCCGCCGAGGAGGGAGAAGAGGATGGATGTGAGGAGCTTGCAGGCCCCGCCTCGTCGTCTTCCGCCGCTCCCTGCCGCTCCCCCCGCAGTCCACCCCGGGACCTCACTTCTCCGCCCGCCCAGGTTGGGCAGGGCGCGGCCACGGCGGGCGAACCGACTCTGAGGCCGACAGCGTCAGGGGGGAGGGGGGAGCAGGGTCCCCCCCTCGGGGGATGCGGACGCGGGTGCGGATGCGGCCTGCGTCGAGGCGCCGCGGGGGCGCTGCAGGAGGGCGCCGGGGCGCCGCGGGAGGGTGACAAGGTGAAACAAGGGAGGGTGAAACAGGGGATGGGGGTAGAGACAGGGATAATCATCCCGCATGCACCTCGGTTCCGGGCTGGCTTGCGGCGGCGGGCTTTGCTGCAAGAAACTGGATACAGACAGCGGCGGACGCGGTGGCGACGGCGGCCACGGCGGAAGGCGACGGCGGCGGCGACGGCGGCGGCGACGGCGGCGACGGCGGCGACGGCGGCGACGGCGGAGACGGCGACGAGGGCGACGGCGACGAGGGCGACGGCGACGAGACTCGTCCAGCTTTCGGGTCACAACTCGGGCCTCCAGCAGCCCTTCGGGGCGATTCGAGCACCCCCGGCAAGATCTCGCCGAGGCGCGGCTGCTGGAGCATCCAAAAACTGGAAGGCCTCCGGCAGACGACGGGAACATCCGCAAACCCATCCAGAACCGATCAAGGGCGTCCAAAAGGGGGGCGTCCAAGAGGGGGGACGCAGATCATGGCCCGACGCATGTGCGCGGAACAGGGGTAAGGGGCCAGAAGACGCATTGAAATCAGAAGAGGTGCCATGAAATACGAGGAGATATCATGGCCCAGGCCATGATATCCGCCCCACCCTGCAGCCATCTTGCTACCATAAGGAGCGCATAATTCGCCGGCCCAGCAAGAGTTTAATAATGGTTTCTAATTTGCGCGCGCGTGGCGGCCCCCTGGTGTCCCCAGACGAAAAATACTCTGGCAAGGTCCCGGCAAGTCCCCGGCAAGGTCCCGGCAAGGTCGGGCCAGAAATGCCGGAAATCCCGTTGCGGCCTCGGAGGCCTCCCGAGCGCCCTAATGAGGCGCCAAAAGGGTGGCACGCCCAACGGCCTCAGGCCAAGAGCGCTCCAAGATGGCCTGCGTGGGTCCCGAGACGGGCCAAGAAGCGCCCAAGACGCTCCAGGAAAGGTTTCAAGAGGATTTCGAGAGGCCCCGCAGACGCAACAGTCGTTGATTTTGCAAGGGTTTGCGGACGATTTTGGTGGCATCGCCTTTTCGAGCTGCCGACCGCCCTGGACGGCCCAAGAGGCCCCAATATCGCTCCAAGACAGCCCAAAAAGCATCCAATGGGGCCCCCACATGGCCAAAGATGGCCCCCAGACGGCCCAGGAGGCCTGACGGCCCGAGGATGGCCCCGAGAGGGGGCCGGCCCAGAGGGGGGACCCGAACAGACATTTCGGGCTCTCGGCCCCAAGAGGCGCCGAGGAAGCCCCGGAGGCCCCCAAGAGTCCACAGGAGGCCCAATAGGCCCCCAAAGAAGCTTCCAAGACTCCCAAACAGGCCCCCAGAAAGCCCCAAGAGGCCCCCAAGAAGCCCCCGAAAGGCTCCCCAGAGGCCTGAAAACTCCTCCCGAAATGCTCCCTCCGATCAAGCCCTAAGAAGCATATATGAGGACATTGACGCAAACCATGTGCGTCTCGAAACTCTGCCGGGGAGCTCTTTTGAGCCACCTTGGCGCCCTCTGGGGCAGTCGATCGGCTCTCTTCGACAGGGTGCGAGCCACATTTCCAAAGATCTCCTCGAAGACCGTCCTGCCTGCCCTACCGTTCCCCCTGGGCACGAGCACCCCACCACGCAGCCACAGCGATGCGAAAGGGGCCGGCGGAATGAGCGAAGCGAGTCAAGAAGGAACGAAGGGTCTGTTCTGGCCACGGCGGGCCTAGGCCACGACATGGATCCGAGGAACAGCGCGGAAACCCGAGCCCACAGCGGTCTTCGCCCCCCTCGTGTAAAGAGGCTCTGGGACACACAAATAAGTACATACACACACAGCATTCCCCACACTTTCGGATATCTTCTGGGTTTTTGCCTTCCCCCCTTCTTCCCATGTTTTCCCATATTTTCTTGGGAGTCGACACTGAACTGTGTCTGTGTGCTTTTTCCCTTCCTGATCCTGGACGCCCCCGAGCCGACGACTGTGGCGGCGCCGGCGAGGGCGGCGGCGGCGCACGCGGCCGCGCGACGGGCCCCGCCCGCCCCTCCTCGCGGAGGCCCGCACCTTACGGTCCTCCTGCTCCCGCTCTGCCTTCGCGGCCTCGGGGGCGGGGGAGGGGGGGGGCGGCCGCGGGGAGGGGAAGGCGCCGGAGACGACGACGACGACGCCGACGAGGGCGGCGGCAGCGGCGACGACCACGACGAGGACGACAAGAACAAAAAACGGAACCCCATGATTTTCCATGCTTGCCAACTCGCTTCTGATGCGGGACCTCAAGATGGCCCCAAGTCGGCCCAAGAGATCCCCAAGAGGGGCCCGAGAAGCCGCCAAGACAGCCCCAAGACCGCCGAAGAGCGCCCCGACGGCGCCCCAAGAGGGCTCCAAGGGGCGACTTCTATGGCCCTCAGGGGGGGGGGAGGGGGGAGAATTCGAGGGCCACCCTCTTTTGATCGACGCCCTCCAGGATGGCGCTAAGAGGCCCTCCAAGGCCCCCAAGAGGCCCCAAGTAGGATTTCAAGGGAGTCACAGGACGCACCAAAATAGCCTCAACAGGACGCCAAAGGCAGCGAGGGAGCCCCAAGAGGACCCTAAGAAGACCTTCGGAAGAGCCCAAGAAGGCTGCCAGAGTCTTCATGATCCTCCTCCTCCCCCTCCTCCGCCTACTCCGCCTCCTGCTCCTCCTGCTCTTCCTGCTCCTGATGCTCCTTCTCCTCCTCCTCCTCCTCCTCCCCCTCCTCGTCCTCCCCTCCTCCTCCTCCTCCTCCTCTTCTTATTCTTCCCCTTATTAGAATTACGCGTCTTATGATGGTTATTATTCTTTGTATTAGTATTATCGTTATTCGTATCATCATTAACTACTCGTCTTAGCAATAATAGTATTAGTATTCGTCTTCTTAGTATTAGTATTACTCTCAGTTGTAAAATTGTTCTTCTCATTGCTAACATTATTCGTGTTGCGATTCCTTGTTATGATTATCCTTCGTTTTAGTATTCTTACTCGTCTTCTTATAAGTAGCATTCGTCTTCTTATTTTTCTGATTACTCGCCCTAGTAGTTTTACTAGTCGTGTGATTGATATTCGTCTTCGTCGCCTTCTTGATATTCGTAGAATATTCAAATTATTGGTATTACTATTATAATTCGGCTGCTGCTCCTCCTCCTTATTCGTATTATTATGAGTAGTATTATTAGCAGTATTATTATTATAAAGTATTATTATCATTGTTATTACTATTAGTATTATTCATCCTCCTCCTTCTCCCTCCCTCCCTCCCTCCATCCCTCCCTCCTCCTGCTCCTCCTCCTCCTGCTCCTGGTTCTCCTCCTCCTCCTCCTCCTCCTCCTCCTCCCTCCTCCTCCTCCTCCTCCCTCCTCCTCCTCTCTCCTCCTCCCCCTCCCCCTCCCCCCATCCCACTCCCCCTCCCACTCCCCTCCCTCTCCTCCTCCTCCTCCTCCTCCTCCTCCCTCCTCCTCCTCCCTCCTCCTCTCCTCCTCCTTCGATCCTTCTCTCTCCCCCCCTCCTCCACCACCTCTTCCTCTCCTCCCCTCCTCCTCCTCCCCTTCCCCCTCCCCTCCCCCCTCCTCCTCCTCCTCCTCCTCCTCCTCCTCCTCATCATCATCAGCAGCAGCAGCATCATCTCATCATCATCATCATCATCATCATCATCATCATCATCATCATCATCATCATCATCATCATCATCATCATCATCATCATCATCATCATCATAATCATCATCATCATCATCATCATCATCATCATCATCATCATCATCATCATCATCATCATGATCATCATCATCATCATCATCATCATCATCATCATCATCATCATCATCATCAGCATAATCATCATCATCATCAGCAGCATCATCATCATCATCCTCATCATCATCATCATCATCAGCATCATCATCATCACATCGCATCATCATCAGCATCAGCATCATCATCGTCATCATTATATCATCATCGGCAGCAGCAGCAACATCATCATCATCATCAGCAGCAGCAGCATCATCATCATCATCAGCATCATCATCATCAGCATCATCAGCAGCAGCCGCCGCAGCAGCATCATCATCAGCATCTTCATCATCAGCAGCATCATCAGCATCATCATCAGCATCTTCATCATCAGCATCATCATCAGCATCATCGTCGTCATCATCATCAGCAGCATCATCATCAGCAGCAGCATCATCATCATAATCATCATCGTCATTATCCGCATCACCATCATCATCAGCAGCATCAGCATCATCGTCAGCGTCAGCATCATCATCATCAGCATCCTCATCAGTTGCATCACCAGCATCATCATCATCAGCATCATCATCAGCCTCTTCATCCTCTTCATCATTATTCGCACCATCGCCAGCATCGTTACATCATCGTCATCATCGTCATCAACATCCTCAGCATCATCATCATCAGCTTCATCACCATCATCATCAGCATCATCATCATCGTCAGCCTCATCATCTTCATCAGCCTCTTCATCCTCTTCATCATCATTCGCACCATCATCAGCATCGTTCCACCATCGTCATCATCGTCATCAACATAATCATCATCACCACCAGCTCCATCAGCAGCATCATCATTAGCATCACCATGTCATTATCATCATCATCAGCAGCAGCATCATCATCATCATCGTCATCACCATCAGCAGAGCCATGCCAGCACCATCATGATCGTCATCATCATGATCATCATCATCACCACCAGCATCGTCGTCATCATCATCGTCATCAGCATCAGCATCAGCATCGTTATCAGCATCATCAGCATCATCATCCGCATCATCATCATCCTCATCCTCATCAGCATCAGCATCACCAGCAGCATGGCATCATCGTAGCATCGGCATCATCATGAGCAGCAGAATCGGCATCATCCTCAGCAACATCACGGCGTCATCCTCATCATCATCATCACCATCAGCATCATCATCAGCACCCTGAGAATCAAGGTCATAATCATCGTCATCATCAGCAACAGCATCATCATCAACCTCATCAGCATCATCATCACAATCATCATCATCGTCATCATCAGAAGCACCAGCATCACCCACCTCATCATCATCAAAAGAAGCATCATCATCATCATCATAACAATCATCATCATCATCATCATCATCATCACCGCCACCACCGCCATCATCGACATCATCATCGTCACCATCATCAGCATCATCATCATCAGTTTTCTCATCCTCATCATCGTCAGCACCGCCATCATCAACAAGATCAGCAGTACCACCACCACCATCATCATGATCATCAGCATCATCGTCATCATCATGGTCACAATCCTCATCAGCTTCATCAACGCATCACCATCGTCATCAACAGCATCATCAGCATCAGCATCATCATCAGCATCATCATTATCATCGTTCTCACCAGCATCATTATCACTGGCACCATTGCCACAATCACCATCACCATCATCAGCAGCATCATCAGCAGCATCATCAGCAGCATAATCATCAGCATCATCATCACCAGCACCATCATCATGTCATCATCGTCATCATCCCCCACATAAGAAGCACCAGCAACAGTGTCAGCATCAGCATCAGCAGCATCATCATCAACATCAGCATCATCATCAGTAGTATCACCATCCTGGTCACCAGTATCATCATCAGCAGCATCATATCAATCATCGTCGTCCTCTTCATCCTCACCACCCATTGCTCATCGTCCTCCTCGTCGTCCTCCGTCTCGTCCTCCGTCTCGTCCTCCTCCTCCTCGTCCTCCTCCTCCTCGTCCTCCTCCTGGTTCTCGTCCTCGTCCTAGGTCTGATCAGGCCACGGTCCTGGTCAAGGCAACTCGCCTGGGCGTCGTTCATGGATAGGCCCGAAAGAAAGCGCGCAACGTCAAGAATACACTTTCGGGTCGTAGCCACCGTCGCCGCCGTCGCTGCTGCCGTCGTCGTCGCCGCGGTCGCCGATGTCGTCCCCCTGCAGGGTACAGCTCGCGCCCTCGTCGTCGACTCCGAAGGGTGTGGTTTGCAAAGGGTGTGGTGCTGGCCGACAGGCAACAGGACAACACATGCGGCCGAACAAGGAAAGTCTAGCGGGCGAGCGAGGAATTTGTCTCGCCATACGGGGAAATTTGAAAAGGCGAGCGAAAACATATATTCAAGCAAACAAAACAACTTTTACCGAACGAGGAAATCATTTCGGGCGAGCGGAGAAGTTTTTGCCGAGAGAGGAAATGTCGGAGCGCTCGAGTGGAAAATTCCAGGAAGAAAGCTCCCGACAAAGCGGCGGACTCAGTCCCCAGGACTGGGAACCCTTCATGAAGCCCAAATCCCGTCGCTGCCGCCAGAAACCGACAGCCCATGAGAAGCAACGGGCCCTGTCAACACCATCGTTTCTCTAGACCACCCGCTCCCGTTGAAACCTCCTCCTTTCGATACCCGCCCGTCCGCGCGACCGCGACCGCCCGCCCGCCAGCCCGCGCGACCGCCCGCCAGCCCGGCCGCCCGCCCTGACCAGAGCCTTGAGGCGAATCCAGCCGTGGCGACGAGGACCTCCCAAGAGGCCCGATAGTGGTACTAAAACAAAGCAAGAACACCGTTTCTGGATGGGCTGGTGGGGTCACGCGGAGCGTCTAGAATTCTGCGGCGAATCCAGCCAGGGCCTCCCAGGAGGCCCGAAAGTGGGAAAACTAAGGAAGGGCAGCGGTATCGGTGCCGTTTCCTCCACTGGCCGCCGAGGCGGGCCAATGTCGGCGGTGGACAAGCCTCCCTTTAGTAAACCTCCCCTTAGTGAAAACGGCCTAGGACCGAAACCGACGGACCTGGACCCGCAAAAAGAACGGCCGCGACGCCCCCTCGCGAACCGAGAACGGCCTATTCCTTTCTCGACGTGTCGAGGTAGGAGGCCTGTCCACCCCCGACAGTGGCAGGAGCCCCAGGGCTGGGGGCCCCGCCGCGGCCTGCTTCTTGCGGAGCAGCTGTTCTCTCCGCCTCTGCCTGGCCCGCTCTTCTGGGTCCACGGGCGGGGCGCCGTCCTCGGCACGAGGGGGGGGGGAGGGAGAAGGGAGGAGGGGGGAGGAGGGGGAAAGAAACGGAGGAGGAGAAAGGAGGAGGAGGGAGGAAGGAGGGAGGAAGGAGGGAGGAGGGAGGAGGAGGGAGAAGGGAGAAGGGAGGAGGGAGGAGGAAGGAAGAAGAAGGAAGGAGGAAGAAGGAAGGTGGAAGGAGGAAGGAGAAAGGAGGGAGGAGGGAGGGAGGGAGGAGGAGGAGGAGGAGGCGGAGGAGGATGAGGGAGCGAGGATGGGGGGACAGACGAAAAGGAAACGAAAGAAGGAGGAATGAGGAGGACGAGGAGGATGGAGGGTGGAAGGAGGGGAGAAGCGAGGAATGATGTAAGGAGTGAGGAGTGCGGGGCGAGGGTGAAGAGCGGAGGGAGTGGAAGGGGGAGGGGAAGGAGGAAGAGGAGGGAGGAAACGACCGAACACCTCTGCTGACGACAGTCTGGGCCTGACTAGGACCTGGTGGATGAGGCGATGGCATCAGTGGTCTGGAACGTAAGGAAAGCAACGACATGCATCGGAACCACGATACAAACCAGATTGGAATGACGGTGGGAGGAGGAGAAGGAGGAGGACGAGGACGAGGAGGAGGACGAAGAGGAAGAAAATTGAAATCTGGTTGACGATTTCGACTTGAATTAGAAGTCCCGTCATCCAGTGACGGTGGATGAAAGGGTGGCAGGCCCCGAGATGCCCCCGAAACAACCCCAAGAGGCCCCAGGTTTAGAAGACATACAGGCAGCATGGGCATAAACTGTCGAGAGCCCGAACATGTCAATGCGCATCCCGATACTGGTCGCCTTCACCTGGCAACGGGAGGGAGGAGAGCGTCCACCGTGACACAACGGGCGCCAGGCTGCTTGACTTCATGGGGAACAACTATACAAATGACAGTCTTCATGCACCTGCGGAGTCCTAGGTGTCTTTTCGCCAAAGTCTCTGTCTCCCATGCCGCAACCTCTTTTGGTACTGACCTGCACCTAGCGTTTGAGAAGTCCTACTCAAATAATGATGGCTCTTCTATTTCACCTTCTTCTTCTTCTTCGAAGGGCGGCCCGAAATGGTCCAAAATAACCGCCAAGAGGCCCCCAGAAAGGCTCCGAACGACAGACGACACTCCGGCCGCGCGGCCAGCAGGCGGCGCGGCGCTGGCCGCACCGCGCCCGCGATCACGCCTCGGCTCGATCCTCGAACCTCGAACCTCCGTCCTCGGTCCTCGACCCTCGAACCTCGGTCCTCGATCCTCGGCCTTCGAGGGTCGAGCCCCACTCCTCGAGCCTCGGCTGTTGAAAGTCGATCCCCGGTCCTCGATCCTCGGTCCTCGAGGATCGAGGGTCGATCCTCTCGGGGGCGACGATAGGGGCGAATAGCTCGGGGGGGGGGGGGGGCAACGCGTGCGTCCACGGGCGCCGACGGCCCATGTGTTCGACGAGGCCCCCCAGCGAATACCTGCGACGCCCGCCCCTGGGCTAGTGCGGACTACAAGCCTCGCCCTCTGCAAACCACACCCTTCGGAGTCGCCGACGAGGGCGCGAGAGCTCCCGCCACCTTCGCCACGCCGGGAGCTCGACCCCCACGATCGTCGCCTCCGATCCTCGAACCTTGGCCCTCGAAAATCGAGGGTCGACCCTCGAGGTTCGAGGCCCGAGGACCGAGTCCGCTCCTCGAGGTTCGTTCGAGGGTCGATCGAGGCCCGAGGGTCGAGGGTCGCTCCTCGGCCCTCGAGGCCCAGGGCTCGGCGCGGCCAGCGGGGGCGCTCGCGCCGCTTGTCGGGCGCTTGCCGCGCCCGCTCGCCCCCCCCCTTCTCCCCCTCGATAACGGACGACGGCGACGACGCCCGACGCGCGACGCACCACGCGCGACGACGACGACGGCGGCGGCGGCGGCGGCGGCGACGATGACCGACAAACGCAGATCCAAGAAATTCGCGCAGACCGTCAAAAGTCTACGTTCATGCAGTTTCTTCTCCTTAGAAATCCGCCGACCCTGTCGGCGAGTGTGCGGGGCCTGTCCGTTCGAGTCGCCCACTTCGTCATTCGTTAGTCGTCGTCTCTGCCAGCTCCTGCCCCTGCGGCCCCCATTTCCCTGGGCCCGTCGCCGCCCCCCCTTTTCGCCTGGGCCCTCTTCCCCAAGCGCGCCAGCCAAAACGAAATTGTTGAACGTCGCAATTCAATCGAGGAGAAGCCCCCCCCTTGGATCCCTCCCCCGTCGGGGGGGGCGGGCCCGGGGGGGTCCCAGGGGAGATGCGCCTCGGCCCCGAGGGAGATGCGCCTCGGCCCCCGGCGGAGTCGCCACCCAGATACGCATCCCTCCCGGGGGATCTTGGGCCCCGAAAAACCCCAGGAGCCCCCTCCGCTTGACCCCTCCCCCGTCAGAGGGGGCGGGCCCCGGCGGGGGCCCAGGGGGGGGCGCCGCCCAGATGCGCATCCATCCCTGGGGGCCCCGGGCCCCCAAAAAGCCACAGGACGGACCAAGAGTGCCCGAAGAGGCCCCCAAACCCACAGAACGCTTCACGCATGAGAGACCACGAGATCATGAATCTCCTCGCCAGTCCGCTGGCTGGCCGCGCAACCAGCTGGCGTCGGAGGCACTGGGCTGCTCCGCGAAGCGCGCCCCCTGCCTCCCGAAGCGCCGACGGAAGGCGCTCTGAGAGAAGGGCAGCTGCCATCCAGATCCCCGGAACCTCCTGCTCGAACCCAGGGCGCCGAGACACCCGGGGCGGGGCCCCGCGAAGCCAGAATGGGCAGCGAGCACGGTTGCCAACAGGGACAAGGTCAGAAGGATGTCCCGCCTTATGTGGGACGCCCAAGACAGGGCCGCGGGGGGGGGCGAGGGCCACGACAGGGAACGCCATGGTGCAGATTCCGCCAGTCCCCCCCCACACTGACCCCCCTTTTCGACAGCTTGGATACGCGCATGCACCGGCTGCTCGATCTCGAGCGAGTCTGGAAATTGCCAAGTTAACTCGCTGCCCAAACTGTTATGCGGAACGACGAGGCGCCCATTCAGTGAACCCTGCCCCCCCCCAAGCGACGAGAAGTTCAGGTCGCCGAGAACCACGGGCAGGGCCTTGCTGGGGGGACGTCCCCAAGGACCCAAGGACAAGTAACACTTGAGATTGCGAGCTCCAACAGATCGTTAGGGTCGGCGTGGACACCGACGATCTGGAGGCCCCCCGAAGGCCCAGAAAGGCAAACGCCGCGCAGCCACCCTCGAATGCGCCCACGAGGCCGTCGACGGGAAAAGCGCAAGGAGGAGTGAACAGAGATAACACAACCACCAGTACTGTCTGGGCGATGAGACTGCCAAGAACTGCACGTCCTTGAATGTCTCTCTGGAAAGCGCCCACATCCAAGCCTCGGATTGGTCTGGTACTTGGTCCGAAGCGTTGGATCCACTATGCCATCCGGCGTTCCATTCGGTTGCTGAAAGCATTCCCTGGATGCGCATGGGCCGCGCAGGAGCACGAGAAAGGTGAACGAGAGATCGGGCAGAAGTTGGCGCATGACTCGCATTTGGTTTCGGTCGGGCTCGCACTCTAGGCTAAATGGCGGAGTGCCTCGAAGTTCTCGCTTCTACATTAAAGCAGGCGCGCAGGCGCGCGACCCCCTTTGGCTGCTGGCGCTGGGGCGGGAAACTCCAGCGAAAGAGCAAGAGCGGGGCGCAGTAGGAGAAACCCCAGCACTTCTGGAATAACTCTGCGACTCTGATACTTTCTATTCGGTGGAAGTGCGGATCCGCTGCGCGGCCCTCCCTGGGGTGATGTCGAACATATGTATAGCGATTCAGGTTCGGGAGCGGTGTCGACCTGCTCGATGTCACCTCCTCCGAGCGCGAAGGGGATCCAAACGTCCCCCCCCTAGAATCTCCTCGTGTGGGCTGCGGATGGTCCTTATGCAACTTGGGTCGTAGATCCTCTGGCGCTTACGGTGCCCCCTGATCGACTACGAGAGGAACCGCAGGTCTGGGGTCGCGTCCATCCGGACACACAGTAGGTGGGTGCTCGACTCCACGCCAATCTCGCCACGATAAACGCTCTACGTGTAAACTACTTCCGGACTTGATAGACTAGATGTGGTTGATAGTGAAGCAAGTGGCCCCCACGCACATGGCGCGGGAGGTTGGCGACGACCATCTGGGCGCGGGCGTCGAATTCGCTGGCGAGCGGGCGGAAAGGGAGCCCACCAACCCATACTTTCGTCGGGCCGCTTTCCTGGACAGAGCTGCGCCCGGAGCCCCCCGATGAACTCGCTGAGCTAGACGGAGCATGCGTCGAGAGCGTTCCGATAGCCACAAGGCATGGAGTTTGTCAAGGGTATTGACTTCGAGTCGGGCCTAGAAGATGCTGATGACGCTGGTAGACTCGGCAGCGACGAAAGACAACTTGGAGACTTTCTCGTGCTCGTCCATCCTTGTGGTGAGATGGAATATGGCCACCTGCTATTTGTCTTGCAACTCCTGCAGAATCACACGCTGCTCGCGAAGCTCTGCACGGCTGGTGCCATTCATGAATTTCAGAGAGGCCATGGCCACGAACCTTGCAAACACAACATACGGCTGCAGGGCAGCGAACCGTGAGGGTCGACAGGAACGAAACAATGATTGTCAGGCCTGGGATCAGAGGTATCCAATTGGCCCCCAGGGAAACAACATCCTTGAGCCAAAACGGCTACGGAGGACAGAGAAGGGAAGAGGAAGAGCAGGAGGAGGAGGAGGAGGAGGAGGAAAGAGGAGGGAGTACGGAGAAGGGGGAGGAGGACGGATCCCCAATGCAGCGGCCCCCCCTCTCGTCCGACCCGATCCGCGCCCGCGGTCTCTCGACGCGTGCGCCGCGGTGGACTGCCGACCCCGCTCGCCGGGGAAGACGAGGCCGTCGTCGTTGTCGTCGTCGTCGTGGTGGTGATCGTGGTCGTCGTCGTCGTCGAAGTCCGCCGAGCGAGACTCGAGCTGCCCTGGCTTTCTGGGGGGGCCTCCAGAGA